GCCCCTCGCCGCCCCGCACACCCGACTCTTGCCCTTGCGCCCTCGCGGCCCGGAGGGTGGGGTCTCGCGCTTCTCGGCGAGGGAGCCTTTGCACGCTCCCTTGCCCTTTACCTGCCGTGACCCCGGTCCTCGCCTGGCACTGGGGTCCGTCTGAGCCTCTCCTTTGGCGTGGCATGTTTTGGGCCTTCTGCACTCTTGTCTGTTGACCCTTTCTGTCAGGACAAGGGGACTCGGGCTGCCCATGCTCTTCCTTCCTCACCCAGAGGCTCGTGGGGGCCTGTGCAGCTCTGAAGTCATTTCTAAATAGGAAAGCAGACACTTTTTCCAGGTTATGCACACTCCGCACACTTCGCCGGGGTCAGCCGAGCTCTTTCCCGAATACCCTCTGAGCTGCCCTCTTTTCCTGATGGAGAAAACCGGACGCCCCCGGGCTCCTTTTCCTAGCTGCCTGTCTGCGCCGAGGTGTTCTCTCTCCTCGGAGTTCCCTGTCGGGGAGGTTGGGCGCCCCAGTAAGATGTAGGGCAGGGCTTCCATTGTGCCTACTACTTGAGCGAAAAGGGGCCACAACCACTGCTCCCGTGTCCGGGGCACAGAAGGGTGTACCTTTGCTTCCAGGCGACTCCTGCGTCTTCAGAGGGGGGCAGCCTTCCCCAGTCGACAGTACCCCACTGGGAAAGGGGCACATGCCCTTGGCTGTTGGGTTCTCCTTACTGTGTCTGGTGCGTCCCACACTCGAGAGGCTTTGAACCTGCCCTGAAAATAAACTTCCCAATTCTTTTTCGGAAAGAACTCACATCCTTCTTATGGCTTCTGTTTCCCAGTCAGCCATATTCAGTGAGTCTGTTACCTTGACTTTTTCTAATCTTCTCAAACAGTGTTCATGTTGGCTGGGTAGGGAGAAGCCATATGCCTTTCCATCCAGAATAGGGAGTGTAGACACCCATGTCGCCCACGTGCCATTCGGAAAGAGGTAGCTGTGTGCTCCTTGCTGTACCAGAACCTTCCTTTGGCCCTGGTGTTGTCTCTGTGGGATCCAAACATTTCTTTGGATCTTGTACCTTTCGGGCAAAGGAGAAATTTGAATGCTTTCTATTTTTTGCTGTTCTGGTTCTTTTTTGGTAAACTAGAGCTCGTCATGGCGCTCTCTGCATTTGTTGACACATGCCCACATATAGGTGTGTTATACGCGTGGATGCAGCTATGTCCCTCATAGGCAGAGCAAATCAGAAGGGGTGGATGACAAGCTCTACACTTCGGATGTGTGTGGGGATTCGTGCATGGCAGCAGTAGACAGAACTGTTGTTGGCGACTCTTCAGGCTTGGGAGAATCGGAAGAATCTCATTACCCCCATTTGTCATTTGTGTTGTCCTGAGTAAGCAGAGTGACACCCGGAGTGTCCACGGTGTCCCTGAGTGTGTGAAGCGTGGAAAGCTTGCCAGTAAGGGCCCAAGCTCAGGCGCTCTGAATTTAGGGGCAGTCGCCTTTGATTCTGCATTGGGGGAAAAGTTCTTCATTCCTTTACTGCAGTGTGGTGGAAAGAGATTCTTTGCTTCAGTGTGGGACTGCAGTTTTGGGCAAATGATAGGAGATGAGTGAGAAGTTCTCTGTAGTAGACTAGGAACAGCTGGCCGTAAATGCATCCCTGTTGTCTTGGGCCATTTCATAAGCGAGAGAGGGTGTGACCTTAGGAAGAGTACCCTTGGAGAGGCCCTTGCCCCTCCTTGCACGGGTGGGAGAATCATTCTTCAGGTTCTTTTTTTTCAGGGCACCACGGGAAGAGGGAGAGCCCTGTCTACTCTTCTCATCAGGTGCTTTGCCTGCCTGGTTTCCAGTGCTGTTGTCACTCAGCAGTGAAGTCTTACTTTGTGACAGGCTTAGTGTGGAGACTCGCCCTCCCCAGCAAGCGGCGTTGGCCCGGAGAATTCAGGCCTTCACTCCTTTCTAGCAAGGAGGCTGTCTCCATCTTGTTCTCCTGAGCACCAGGAGATAGCTGGAGTTTACCTGGAGGTTTGGTGTGCACTGGGCTTTGACGACTGGCTTTGCCTTAGCTGTCCAGTAGGCATTATGCCCATTGCCAGAAAATAGAGCTTTTGACCTCATTTTCTTTTTTTGGGGAGATTTCTAATATTTTAGTTCTTTTTATTCTATCTGTAATCAGCTTGGTGGATTTGTGTATTTTTGGGAATAGAATTAGTGAGCCTTATGAAAATCCAGAGTTGAATACCTGCTGTGGATGCTGGCACGGACCCAGCAAAGTCATCTCATTTCTGGTGGTAGCGCTTCCGGCCCTTCTCCTGGCCACTGACTGGGTGTCTTCCCTGCTAAGCAGGGTACTTGGTATTTGGGCCATGGAAGGAAAAGTGGTGCAGCTCAGCCAAAGGAACACGCAGGGGTTTGTTGTCTGAAGTAAGGCCCTTCTGGAGGTCAGTGCAGTTGTGCTGTCTCTGTCACTGGGCTCCAGAGATGGCTGGAAATCAGCTTTTCTTTCTCCCCCAGGCACAGGCACTCTCACAGTCAGCCAGACTGTGTGGGTTCTCTTAACTACTTTTCTTTTTTCCGTCTTTGTGTTTGGTTTTCTTTCAGGACATCACTCTTTGTGCTCTTTCCTCCAGTTTTCGTACAGATTGGTTGACCTCATCCCCTGTGTCTTCTTGAAGAGCTGGGTTAGCCTGTTGCTAACAACAACAAAAATTCTGGGTTGGTCCATCATTGTTTGGAGGATTCGCAGTGTTGACAGGTACACAGTAACCTCACCTCAAGGTCAGATTGGGTCAGGTTTTTCTTCTCCAAAGAATCACTCTTACTCTTGGAAGCATTTAAACATTCTGCT